CAAATAGTAGAAATATATGTATTATACATATGTTACTATTTTATAAATTACTTAATAAAGATACGAGCAAGACTTTACCTTAAAAAAAAAAAAAAAAAAAAAAAATCAATTCAGCAAAGTCAAAATCAGTATTAATTTGACGGGCAATGCCAAAAAAATGTTTACAGAGTTCAGAACTATGAAACCAAGGTAATAATGGAACTTGTATATAAAATTTATAATATGCTTTTATTAACAAAACCATTGGCTTGGCAAGTGATATAAATATAGTGAAACTTTGTTGAGATAAGAAATTTGTTCTTAATGAAATGAAATCTGAATACTTTGTTGCTAATGTTTCAATATGAAATTTCTACATATAAAGAAAAAAATAGGTAGTCATCACTATACGAATATATTCAATAGGTGTGATATCATGATTAAGATAGCTATCTATTAATTCTTCTGCAATATAAAATAAATTAATATTATATATTTTATAATGATAAATATATAAGACCTTCACCTTAAAAATAATTATAAAATATAGTAATTACTATATTTGATAAAGTTATTTACAAGGTAAAGATTTAAATAATATTTAAAATTGAAACTAACCCATTACAAACAAATATACTGCAAATCCTTTTATATCTGATTCGACTTCATAATTTTTTTCAAGACATTGTTTAAAGTTTGATAAACAAAATGCTCGATATGCTGCACTATCGTCCTACTGATCCAGTTTAATGACATTATTTTTATATATTATTGAATCATATTGATTTATAAGATTTAAAAAGTGCTGAAATTATGCTAATAACTTTTCAAATGTTAATAATCATACACTTGACATTACAGCATTTCATGCAGTTTTTTTGCATGCTTTGGATCTTGTATATGAATTACAAGACCAATATTATCTAAAATAGGACATGAAAAATTAATATTTAGAGCAGACTCACAAAATGTTAGTTTTTCAGAAGTTTGAATATTAAGAATTGACTGTTGCACCTAAAATTCTGTAATTGTACTATCTGATTCCAATGATAAAATATGAAAATATAGTTGTGGTGCAATTTCTTCAATTAATTTTCTATATAACTTTTCAATATCTTTAGCAGTATCAGATCTTTTATTTGGAATAAGTGCAATAACAACTGGCAGAAATTTTGACAAAAATATCTTTAATTAAAGATTAAATTAGTATTTATTTAATAATTATTAATCCATATGATAATAAGTCATTGTCTTAAAATAATTTGATAAAACATAGTAATTATTATATTTTTAAGATTATTTTTAAGACAAAACCTATTTAATATATCTGTAAAAGATATGCACAAACAGTTTTAGCAATTTTATTTAATGTTTTAATTTTTGTAATTACTTTTGGAATATCTGAGTAAATGCTTATTTGTATTTCTTCTTTTGAAAGAATTGATCTAATAATACACCCAAGTGTAGAAGAATATTTTAGTTGTAGTTTTAACTTAGTATTGTCTGTCATTGCAATGATTGGACCATTATATTGAATTATGTCAATAAGCTGTTTAAAGTGAGCAACATTTTCAAAACAAAGATCTGAATTAGTTAAATAATTTTTATTATTATAGCATAATTTTCTAATATATATCAAATGTAAAATTTAAAATATATGTTGAGATACTATTAAGATTCCAATTTTTTATTGCATTGCAATAACTAATACCTGAGTAACTGAATTCTTCTTTTTTTCAAGTTTTAACAAAATAAATCTAAGGCTCTTGGACTAATACTTCTTAAAATAACTAAAACATTTGTAAATGCTTTACTATATTTTAAATTTTGTTTACTTTTATTCTTAGCTTTTTGTTCAGCAGCATTACTCATTACTTTGCAAAGTCCTAAAAAGACTAGTGAATCTTTAAATGCTTCATTTATAGCCTTATTAGCCAATATAACCTAAGGATTTGATGTTTGATATTCATTATCATTATTAAGTAAATTCCATATATCATAAAGATCAAGATTTTGAAGATAATTTTTCAAGGAATTATTTTCCCAATAAAATTTAAGTGTAAATTTAGCATTTTCTGATGCTAATATTTTTCTTAAAATTCTATTACAGAGATTTTTATCGAATCGAATATAATGACATTCATTACAAATATTACCTTTTTCTGCAATTCCTGAACACGTCTTAGCATATACAGCATTACCTATTTAGAACAGTAATAATTATAATTTTATTTTATTCAAATTAAATTACTAATAATATATAGTAATTTGTATAACTACTATTTTGATCTATTTGCCAAGTAGACTCTGCATATAAAGCATGATTTAATTTTTGCTTTTGATCATAGTTTAACTTTTTCCTACTAAATTTCTAAAAAAATAATTTTGGAAAAATTTTATATGCAACAACTTCTATGTAGCGTGAATTGCCAAATTGTGCTAGAGTATGTTTAATATAATTGGAAATTTGTTCAGATTAAAAACCTTGGCAAATTAAACATTTTTTAAACTTTTGTCTATCACTTAATAATTCATTATTTGTGAGAATAGTCAATGCTAATGTATCATTATTTACTTCTTCTGCTTCATCTATTTCATCTATTTGTAACAAATCATTATTGTCTATATTATCATAAATGTCTAAATTCTATTTTTTATTTGAACTTGCAAGTTAGTTATTAGTAGGTTTAAAAAAATTATAAATTGATCTTTGGTCCTCTTTAGCTTGTGCTACTAGAACTTTTAGCATGTTGCTCTAAATAATCTTCTTTTTATTTTCGATGCAGTTAAATCTTTTTGCTACATATATATTTAACCTTTTTTGGATTAACAATATGAGCACAAAACTTATGTTTTAGTAATCGTTCTTTACTATATTTCTACTTAGACATTGTTTCTTTTTTTTTTTTTTTTTTAAAATCTAACTTGTCAAAATTTTTATAATATCTTGTTTTAATGATTTAGACCAATCTAAAACATTAAAATATTGTCTGGCTACAAATAAGTTTTTGTATTTTTTTTTTTTCCTACTTATTTATATATAATACTAACAAATATATTTTTAATATAGTACTATTAATACGAATACAATTACTTTAATTATAGCTTTAACAAACAAAAGTTTTTTTTATTTGATACATTCTTGGCACTCTACATACTTTTTAATATTTTATTAACTTACATATTTTGTTTTATTAATTCGAATATAGAGTTTTTATTTATAATGCTTACAAAGTCTATTTGTTTTTTAATTTAAATTTGTAGTTAAACATTTTTAAATTTATAAAACCCCAGGCTTATTTTAATGTGAAGCCATCACTTAGTAGATCAAATTATATATGATATATCTAATTAAATCTATTCTAAATATATTATATTCATTAGACAATTAAATAATGTTAATATTAGAATATGAATATAGCAAACAAGACCAATCTGTTCTTAATTATATAATCAATAACAGGTTTTTTTCTTGGCAGTATATATATTTACACTAATTTTATACTAAAAATATACATTAGTAGCCTTTAACATCTTAAAATTTGATTAAAATTAGGCAACTTAAAAATCTAACTTTTTTTATAAATTTAGCCAATTCTATGCAAATCTAGATTATACATATAAAAAAGTTATTAAGTTGGCTATATATTTAATATACTAACCTATATATGAATAGCTTGAGGTCCTAGCAGTACCAAGATAAAAGAAGTATAAAAAAGAAAAAAGAACAACAACAGACAAATGAAATAAAAAAAGAGCAAAAAGAGCCAAAAATAGAAACAAAAAAAAGAAAAAAAAAGATAAAAATGCCAACAAAAGTCTACAAGCAAACATGAAAACTGCAAAAAATAAAGTAAGTATAAAGGTAAAACAAATAAATGATAGCCAAGTAAAAGCTGAATCATCTATCTATAAAGAAGCAAATGAAAATCAGAAAAGAGAACAAGAATAAGAAGACATAAAAATGAACAGAAAAGAATCAAGACAAAGATTAACAACAAAAGAAAAGGAAAGAAAAAAAAACAAGAAATTAAAAAAGAAATTGATGTAATAGGAGTACCACTTAAAGAAAGCATATGAGCATCAAGCAAAAGAGGCTGCAATCAAAATAATAGCCTACTTGCAAACATATCAGCACATAATATACTTGAAAAAACCAAAAAAGAATATACGAACTTTATTTGATGGTTACTAAAAAACAATGAGCATATCAAAAATATTGAAGAAGTCTTTAAAAAAAAAAATCTATAGATAGAGATAGACTTCAACTGCAAGTATGACAGAAATAAGACAATACAAAAAATTAACAAAAAAGAAAATGATTGATATAGGATAATTACAAAAGAAGAAAGAATAAACAAAAAGGAAAAGAAAAAACATATAATAAATAATATCAGAAAGAAAAAAACAATATATCAAAACTTAAGAAGAAGGAATATAAGTAGCAAAAAAGCAAAAAAGAACTAACAGAAAATTAAACAGATATTGAGAATATCAGAAAAGTTATATATATAGATATATATCGATTACTAACTAATCAGATATATAGTGATAGTAATCACTCTTGCCAAGTTTCATCGATTTCGATTATAATCACTATATAGCCAATTAATATACATCAATTTATATTATTTTTGATATTAATTGATATATAGCTAATATAAGCAGTTAACATCAAATTAAAATAATATCATATTGATTAAATAAATGCACTATTGTATATATTATATACTATATATTAAATTTATTTTAGAATCCAAAACTATCAAATTTATTAAACTAATTTTGTTTATAATTTTATTTACAATTATATTTAATACAATTAAAATGTAAAAAAAAAGCAATATATACAATACAAATAGCAATTACAAATTATAAAAAGAAAAAAAAAAAGACAAACCAAAAAAAAATGCTAAGGTTCGATCCCAAATAATTGATCTATATTGTCTTAAGACATTTGCATTATGTTGCTTTGTTGAGATAATGGTTCCACTTCTGATTTACTGTCATTTAGTGTAGTTGCATAAACCTTTGGCTCTTATTATTCATAAGTTCATTATTAGTTAATAATTTGGCAAATTCATAAAATAGGCTGCTACTAGTGAAGTTATTCTACAATAAAAACTTATTAATAATGTTTTTTGATACAAATTTTATATAAGTATATATGATAAAACTTACTAGAAAGTATTCCATATGTTGTTTCATTTTATTCTCCTTATATATTATGTCTTTTAACTTGAGATTCAATAAGATATCGCATACGACAAGTGTAAAAGTGCAATGTTTATCAGACAAAATAGGTATTACAGTTGTAGAGAAAGCTGGCCTTGCTATTATAGCTACCCAAAAAGCACCACTTTTATTTTGTTTAAAAAGAGAATAATAACAACTAGCAACTTTCTTACTTTGTTTTCATCTTATTATATTAGATGCCACAGCATTACTTTTTAACAGAAGAAGCCTCTCATATCCAAATATATGCCAAATGGCAGATCTAACATTTTGCAACACAGCATCTCAAAAATTTTTCATTTTTTGTAACAACTATCACATATAATTATAATGTATTAATTAGTAACATAAATAAATAAAATAAGTAACCTAAAAGATTATAAGAAATTATGAGCAATTATAATTGATAAAAAGTTATAACATACAGGACTAGACTATTCAGCATGGAACTGGTTGATAAATTTATTTGTGCTTATATTTAACATAAAGTCAGAATACATTTACTTTAGAAAATCTCTGAAGGATTCCTTAAGGGTGCTTTGGAAGGGGTACATGTCTTGAGAGAACAAGCACTTTATAATATTGATAAATACATTCTATTTCGCAATATATTCATAAAAACAATGCTTAACCATATACATTTCAAAACTTTTACTAAACAATTTACTTATGTCTAGCACTTGATTTAAAAGTTTATTATTTTGTTTACTCTGTTGCTATCTTAGTTCAGTTTTAACTCCCTGATTAAAAAGTATAACTGCTGGTTTTGTGCAAAGAAGCATTCTTCAGCAAGTGACAACTTTGGTGGTTATGGTGATGTTCTTTTAACAACAAAAAGTTTTTTTTTTAATATAAAAAAAAAAAAAATTTTTTAAAGAAAAAAAATATACTGACAATTCAAAAAAAAAAAAAACTTTATATACTAATTACTATCTTGATTACGTTGTTGATTTTGATTGGATGATCTTTTGTCCAGTAATCTACCTCGTAATTCAGGATCAGGTTGGTCACATTGTGGTAATAATGAATGATCTCTATAGTTATTTGGTAAAGTATGACAAGAGCGGAAAGGTTGGTAGTCTCTATTATTATTTGATAAAGATTGACAGAATTGTGGTTGGTAAGATTGTGAATGATAACTTGCATTTTGGCATAATTGATGTTAGAATGTTCGATGTCTACCAGACATTTTTAAAAAGGTACTATGAATGCTAGCAATAGTTTTTGCTAAATCTGAAGAATCATTATCATTATAGTATAGGAAGATTGGTGTAGGCCAGTAATATTTGGTGATGCATTATTAGTATTAGTTTGGAAGCAAGATGTAAGAATAGGAGTAGCAGGATAAGGAGATAAGTTGTTTTGTTCTATTTTAAAAAGAATAAAATCCAAAATTTTCTTTACCTTCAAACAATAAAAATCTGCTATATTTATAAATTTGTAAAACTTTT